CTTCCTTCCTTCCTTCCTTCTTTCTCTTTCTTCTCTTGCTTGCTTTTTATTCTTCCCTCCCTCCTTCTCTTCCTTCATTTCTTCATTCGTTCCTTCCTTCCTTTCCTTTTCTTCTTTTATTATCTTTGAGCGGTTGTATAAAGGGATTTAAGATAAACTTATCAATTTATGAATACAATTCATCTTGATCAATGTAGCCTTTCTATCATTCTCTCCCACAGCCATCTATCCCAGTCTCATCCATCCCCTCAAATTACCTGTAATATCAACTTCTTGGGAGGTAGAGACAGGAGGATCATAAGTGCAGTGTGAAACTATATAGCTGTAATTCCAGCTATACAGTTGGTGTAGGTCGAAGAATCATGGTCTGAAATCATCCCCAGGCAAAAGTGTAAGATTTTATTTAAAAAATAACGAAAGCAAAACAAAAAAAGGGGGGAGGAGAGCTAGAGGCATGACTCAAATAATACAGCACTTAAGTGCATGCGACCTTGAGTTCAAGCCCTAGCACAGCTAAATATATAAACAGCAAAAATATTTAGAGTCAATAAAGCTAATTTGTGTAGCTATATTGACTTTGAAACTACACATGATCAAAATGAATGTAAATACAGATACAATGAAATTATTTTAAGGTAGTTGTCAAGCACAAAAGCAGCAATGTTTATAGTTCTTTTTTAAACTTAAAGTTATGGTGTAATTTTTACCAACTAACCTATTATTAACTAACCACATTCTAACTTACAAGACTTTAGAAACAACAAAATAAAAATACAAATGGGAGGATACAGAACTTGAAGGAAAAAGGATGAAAAAATGCAGAAGTGGAGCTCACTAGATATTGATGGAAGTGAACAACTTGTGGATACAGACAAGAGAGAGACTGGGAGAGAACAAGGGAACAGATGATGCTGTACGAAAGGAAATGTACTCATTACCTGAGTACATGTAACCCCTCTATACATCATCTCTTTAATAACTATAAAGTAAATTTAAAAAATGAAAAGCACATGTGATTTAAGCAAAAATGAACAAAAGCAAAGAGAGAAAGAGAAATAGAATACTACCTAATTGTAACACCAGTGAGCATTTAAAAGAAGCTCAAAGCCGGGCGCTGGTGGCTCACGCCTGTAATCCTAGCTACTCAGGAGGCTGAGATCTGAGGATCGCGGTTCAAAGCCAGCCCGGGCAGGAAAGACCGTGAGACTCCTATCTCCAATAAACCACCAGAAAACTGGAAGTGGCGCTGTACCTCAAGTGGTAGAGCGCTCGCCTTGGAGCTGAAGAGCTGAGGGACAGCGCCCAGGCCCAGAGTTCAAGCCCCACGACCGACAAAAAAAAAAAAAAGAAGCTCAAGTACGGAGGGAAGCTGGTCCATGGGGGAAACACACTAAGAAAGTTGTATGAGGGCTTATATTTGGAATCCAGCTGCGTTCAACATATTTAGTATTTTACATTTGAAGATGTTGGTGTTTAACATGAAAAAAGATACATGGAGATCAAGTCCTCAAAGTTAAATGTAACAGTGTAAACACAGACACTGCTAATTGAAACCCAAATGGCCACAACAGTGGTGGTGTTATGCATGGGCATTAGACATGGAGGAGGAGGGAACTCTTCTGGAGTTGGGAGTTGGGAGCACAGGTTCAGGGGAGGACTCTGAATGGCATGTTGATGAGAAGTTAGGATTCGTGGAGGTAGAAGGAGCGATACAAACCTTCCTGAGATGATAACTTTCATGGAAAGCCACTTCTCTGCTGTGGCACCATTTGGTGTGAGATAGGCTAAATATTAGGTAGGCAAGGGCTACTTCATGACAACTCTGAGCATGGAAGGGGAGCTTGGTCTTTATTCTAATGAGGAAGGGGAAATGATTTAGCTTGTGCATTAGTTAGGTTATCCTATCTGCAAAGCAGGCAATTGAAGGAAAAAATATTTAAAGCAGAGAGAACTGTTATGTGATGCTTTATGACATCCTAGAATTTCTTCACACAACCTCAGAAAAGAATGGAAAAATCTAAAGATAACTCATTTTGTGTGTGGTAAGAGTCAGTCTCAGTAATAGGCTGATGGGGAAGAGACACGGAGGATATTTATTAAACACAATCAGGTGTCTGTTTCTGAGTCTCTACTTGCAATCAGAAACATTGGAAGCTGTGATCTTTGGAGACCATGGATGGAAATTGCTGTTTAGAAGCAAAAATTTGAGGAAGTTATTAAGATGCTATTAATTAAGCCAATTTGATGATCCACATTTTACTTATGCTCAAAGTCATTGGGTTTCCAATATTCATAAGAAACAGAAAAGATACAGAGAGTGGTGAAAAACAAAGGAGGGTTAACAACGGCTGATAGGAAATGTACTCATTACCTTACTCATGTAACTGTAAGCCCACTGTACAGTATCTTTACAATAAAAACATATTAAAACAGAGAGTGGTGAAATACAGGAGAATCAAATAAAATGGATAATTTTCTTTCTTTGTGTGTGTGGGTGTGTGTGAGTCGTGGGGTTTGACTCAGGTTCTAGGCAGTGTCCCTGAGCTTTTTCACTCAAGGCTAGCATTTTACCATTTTGAGCTATCACTCTGCTTCTGGTTTTCTGGTGGTTAACTGGAGAAAAGAATCTCATGGACTTTCCTGCCTGAGCTGGCCTTGAACCACGATCCTCAGATCTCAGCTTTCTGAGTAGCTAGAATTACAGATGTGAGCTATTAGTGCCTGACTAATACTTTCTATCACTTATCAGAATGCTATATGCTGCCTTACAACCCCCAGATAGCAATTGCACATGAACCACTCTGGGTTTTGTTACCATTGCTAGTAGCAGGACAACTTTGAACTAGAAAAAAGAAAAGAAAATCCTCAAAAATTTCAAGCATTTTACCACAAAATTTTCTTTCATGTCCCATACTCCTTTGAGATTATAAATTAGACTATGTCTTACCACTTTGACATACTTTCTGCTCTCTTGGGAATGAAGTGCATGCTGTGATTATTTGTGGCTCAATTGTAAAAGAGAGCAGAGTTCTGACTAGAAACTCTAGACTGCCCTCAGCCAGTAACCTGACAAGGGCATGTAAGTCTTGATCTTTTAAGGACTATTTATTATTGCTTGTGCTTTTAGGAATATTCTACAATTTCTGAGTAGGCAATAACTTCAAGTCCTCCATAATCTTATTAGTCTGATAGGTCAGAGTTCTTTTAGGGATTACATTTGTAAATGTATGCCTATTTTATTTTTCACCCTATTTTTCACATTTTTGTTGCAAGTATTTTATGTTCTATTAACACCTATTTGTAAACTAATGCTTTTGTATCTTCCTGTGCTTGTCCTTGTATTTTTTTGTATGTATTTTCTCACCCGCTGCTTACTTGGCTTCACACTTTTTATTTTTAAATCCCTGAGCTCATTAGTTTTACTTCCTTGGACTTTGTCTGTATCACTCCTTGCCTAAGCCCAGTGAAATTCTCTGCTTTGCCAAAAATTATACAAAAAACAATAACATTTCTGTTTGGAAACAATTGCTCGAAACTACAGAATGGTATTGATAAGAAAAGAAGTTCATTTCTACCAAGTTAAAATCTCAACATAAAACCGTAAAACCCAAGTGTTAGCTTATGTAATAAATGTTTCAAACTGTCAGACGTATACTTTACATAATTTTCATTTCTTAGAGAAAACCAATGCATATTTACTAAGGTCACATCTATATATGCATGATCATGGTAGTGCATACCAGGTAAAACCAATAACCTTTTCCATGGTGATATAAGTGCCTTTAAATTTTGTTCTTGAACAAGAAGTTAATTCCTCCAGTCTCCTTTATTTCAGTACCATATTTCATTAAATTATGTACTTTCATCTGGCAGAAACAAGCTTATCCAGTGATATAGACATAATATTAAGTTAAACTTGTACTTTGAAAATGAATTAAAGGGACAAGGAAGAAAATAAATCCTATTTCTAAACCAATGGTTTATAATGCATAAAAGAAGAGAGTTTGAGT